TGTTTTTTAAACACACTGAATAAATCTCTAAATGATACTGATAAAAGTCACAAGGCAAAAATCATAGCATCTTTGACCGTGTTTCGGAAATTCTGAAGCAAAATCTCCAACAACTCCTGCCCAGCCATCTACAGAGTGATTCTGATGTGTGCAAACTAGATTCATTTCAAAAGAAACCAGAGCAGTGGCTATACTCCAGGCTAACACTGAACATGCCCCAACCCCTTAGGGGGAACACCGAGATTCAAACCAATGATCAGTCATTGAAACAGCTTTGAAATATGTGTAGTAGGGAGGTTTCATTGAGCGGATTAAATTTAGTTAGAAGTAAAAACTCCACAATGCATATAATGCAGATACAAGGGCTTCTGTACCAACTGCTTCAATTTCCTCATCTGCTCCTATTGCTCCAAACCCCTTGCTACTGTAAAAACAGACATCATCTTCAGCTGAAGAAAAAAGAAGATAAAAAAATTTAGTGTTTTAGATTCTACAGTGATTAATGTGGCAAAAGCTCATTTTCCAATGACTTAGATCTGTATGCAGTGTATCAAAAAACATTTCATATTTTGAGTCATTATAAAAAAACGGTTTTCAATAATTCTTTCTTTAAAATAACAAGCAGGCCCAACTGAATGCAGAATTTATTGTTTGAAAACATGTGGTTGCTTCTCATCCCAAAATTGTTAATGCATACATAAGTACATAAGGCACTGTCACCATCGCATTTACTGAATCAAAAACTAGAAGTACTGAACTATGACAAAATGAACCACATACATAAGCATAACGATGTGTTTCATGAGATTAACAGCCTCCCTTGTAATGAGAAACATCTTCAAGGATAGACTTGCATTTACCTTACAATAATATCTGAAGGCACTGGATATGCTCAGTATTTTAAATTATGTGAAAACTTCAACTCACTCCCTATTTATAACGCCAAACACAATTCCCTCCTCCTCGGCGCTATTCCCACAATTCCTCCTCCACCTGCGCTGGCTGCCAGCGTCCGCTGGAAGAACGGAGCTGCTGCCTGTCGCTTCTTAGGGGACTCTAAGGGACTGTCTCCCAGACATAGAGGCAGATGAAACACTCCTGGGACAAGCGGCGTTTTCTTTTCCTCCATTTTTGTTCTTAAGGAACTTACGAGTGAGTGTGTGCACAATAGTAATGAATCAGAAGACTCGCAGAGCCTAAGCCTAGCCACAAACTTGGAGTGAAAATACAATGGGAAAGTTGCCGTTTTCTTCGGAGCAAAGAGGAATCTCAGGATTATCTCCCAGAAGACAGCCTAAGTGGATCGCTAATCATAATCCCCCCCACTGCACAGTTTTGGAGCAAAGAGTATCTTAGTGAAATAACTTTTTTGTGAAAAGGAAGCACCTGTAAGTGTGAAAACCATTTCAATATGTCAGTAGGTTATCCAACAGCTTATCAAAAAGTGGGCTGAATTTCTTTTAACGGAGCAAGCTATTCCAGTTATATACACGAAAGAAGTCTTCATATTATTTTAGTCAGTGGATGGGACCTATTCTCTTTAGAAAGATCATCAAGACATTCATTAATAGGTAGTTAAAGTGCATCATGTCTAAGTAATTTTAATGACCCATCACAGCAACATAAACAATGTCAGCTGGGCATCTTTTAAAGGACTGAGGGGTGGGGGAAAAGGGAGCAAAAACCAACACTCAAAATAACTCCTTATCCCTCTACATTTAAGGTGCTGCAACAGTATGCTCAATCTATAGACCTCAATTGCTTATAGAGTGTAACGTTTTAAAATTTTAGTTCTTTACTCAGTCATCAGTCATAATATTCAGACAACTTTTTTCTCATTCACTGAAGACACAAGCGTTGCCACTGAGGTATGGGGAAATCTTTCCTTCTACTGCAGCTGCGCCATCCACCACTCAAAAAATGATATTAATCTACACACTTCTATTCTTTTTAGTTTTAATCTTCTCCCATCCTGATGAGCGGAAAGCATAGAAATTCCAGCAAGGAGCAGAAGAAACCTATGAATTCCAAGCACACCATTAAGGCAGTGAGCTGACACTTTTAATTAGCAGAGACTAAAAACCGTGACTATCTGAAGGAAAAGAGACAGACTTGTAAAATGTTTCAAAATTTATATTTATGTACAAAAATAGTTATAATGATGGAGTTTATGCAACATGCCAAGTTAAGATTTGAAAATTAAACTAAGATCTTTCAAAATTGATATTTTTAAAGCATTTAAAACATAAAACATAAGTTTTAAAACATAAAACTAAATTTACTGTTATTGGAAAAAACAAATGAATTCATAGAAGCTTTGTTATTACTTTTGGAGGTAACAAGAATAAAACAGACACAAAACTGGCAAAACCTTTTACCTGCAGCTGAGCTCCAATAACTATGGCAAAAATTGCAAATAAAGCAAAATCGCTGCTTTTAGGCTGAGTTCCCCTAGAGGATGCTCTGTCCGGGTCTTAAAATTATTTCATGCTTTTACATGACTGCTGCTGCTCTATGCCATTTATCAGACATGTTCTTCAGTAAGGTGGAAAAAAAAAAAAAAACCTTGTCTTGTAGTTCCATATGTACAATTGTGCGTAATAGCTGCAAATTTCTGATTTTAAAAGGGATACACAAGACTGGAACAATTTTTCTTTTAAGTTTAGTATACAAAATGACACATTTAGTATATTTTCCCATGTATACTTCTTCAAAGAAAGCCGAACATCTTCCCAGTTAGCAATGGGACATCTAACCAAATAAATTAATCAAGTGCATCACCTTTTAAGATGGTTAATGAGAGATGTTTGCAACCAATAATACACTTCATAGTTTTCTTAGGAGATAACAGGGCTATGTCTGGATTTTATCCTAATCAACTGACATGAAGGTTAATCAACTTCTCATTTTGTTTCTTTTGTTTTTTAAACAAATCACAGTGTTAGCCTTTCCTCAACTGGAAAGTTAAAAGCACATTCCCCATAAAAAGTTTATTTTGTCTGGTGAAAATGTATACAGGAGACTGCCAACATTCCCCTGTGATCTTTCACAGATACAAGTCTGGTAAGTTTGGAAAAGGGGAGTAGACAGAAAAGCAAAAGGTTAAAAAAAAAATAATAATTTACAAATTTAATCTGACAAATCATCAGAATTGTTTCACCAAATTATAAACTCAGAAATTCTCGCTCACACATCAAGACATTTAAATCATCTGCAAAAAAAGCACCACATAAACTGGAAATTGCATGAAACACTGAAGAAGGCAAGGGGATATTAGTAAAAGAGACCAGCATATACATGATCCATGCTCTTCATGGCAACACTCAAGACACATTTTCAATAGGCCTTCATGAATTCCTCTGGCTCTGCCATCACACTTAAAGATCCATTTGTAAAGAGATTAGCTTGCACTCCTGAGTATGAGTCAGGTATAGAGTGAACTTCCAGGAGAGTCCTACTTCCAACACTTTGAAGAAAATTTGAAAGCAGAAAGATTAGAGACCGTGAATCAAAACCATTCACAGATTACAGAGCTGACATACTCACACTCACTAAGATTGCTAGGGATTGAAGGAAAGCAAACCTACCTCTCACCTTCCTCAGATTATATCAAATTGAGGAGACTACAGTGCCATTTAGCTGGCACGTGCTTATTTCCAGAAACTGATTAAAAAAAAAATCCCTTTGGGAATACTCATAAGGTGAGCAGCAGTGATAAAAGCAGCAGTGTATGCCAAGATGCTTTGTATATTAGGAGTTAAAAGTGAAAGCAAAGACAATGACTGTCAAAATTGCTAGAAGCCTGATTTGCTGTTCTATAAGATGCCAAAATTTTAAAAGGGAAAAAAAGAGGAAAAATCAATGACAGATATGAGAGTTCAAGATAGAACGCAAAGCTCTAAGAAACACAACCAAACCGTTTCCCTAAAGATTTCCATTCAGTATGTTGCTACGACTCCATCTTGGCTAAGTGTATGTTAAACCAAAGAATAACATAGCAGCCTGGAAAATTTCCTGGGATTTTCTGCTGCTTGTACCCTTTAGCTGGTGAAGTGAAAAACTGCTCATTCCTGGCAAGGAAAACTCCTCTTCCCCATATGGTTCAATAGGGAAAGGTGCAGTATTGTTATCATAGCAGAAGAGGACTCTGGTCAGAAAACACTGCCCTCAGTAGCTCAAGGAATTGTAAGTGAAACTATTAATTCTATATCATCTTAGGGAAAGCAGCATGGACACCAGCTATTTATCTGAATACGCATGGCTACAAAATCTATCTGAAGCTGTAACATTCCTTGTTGTTTTATTCCCTTTAAACTCAGAATCTTTCCATGAACAGTTCCCATGAACTTCAGTAAATTCATTTGCTGACAGAATCCAACCAAACCAACCGATGTTTGAAACAAAGCTCTCATATCCTGCTTCTTGCATTCCCGATATTCTTTTAACTTTCACAGTACACATAGTTGCTTCTAATTCCATTGAACCACTTGATTACAAATTTTTCTTATGCAAATACTCAGTTAAAGTTCCCATTTCCTGTCATGGAAGCTCTATGCACTCTCAGAACAGCATCTGACATCCAAATATGAATACAATGTTGAGTGAGACCAGCATAAAGTGTTTCTGGAAATATTAATCTGAGGAACGAATGGGAAGAAGATTTCAATCCCACAGTCCATTGCCTGCTAATGGCATTTCCTTTAGTTCTTGAAAACACTGGACACATGGACAGAACCCCAGCATCACTACCATCAAGATCTACAAGTCAGAGACCTCAATAATATTATCATTCCAAAACGATTTGAATATCTTATTAATTGGCTAACTTGCTGTGTCAGGCAAATGGCTGAACTCTATTAGTCTAATTCTATACATTTACATGCAGTTTCTTTTTTAAGCTACTGTTTTAAATGAAATGCACTATACATAGGGTTCCATACTGACTCAGTCAATGAAGGTCCACACCAGCATATAAATTATTCTCTTTTTTTTCCCCTTACCTCCAGATGCTCCAAAATATAGGGAGGGTTTGTCATGCCAAGTCTCAGCATAGCTCCCTCAGGAACAGCTTCAACCAGCTTCCACAAGAGCGTTGGGAGGTCTGTGCCAATGTCTCTGCCATAAGCCCCCGTGTCTTCACTGGTCAGCCATATCTCACAAACACCCTCTGTGAATAAAAGAAAGAGATAATTAACAAATCTGTTTTAGAGCTGTTTATTTTATCATACAGCTGCTCACTCTTTAATGCAGTATTTCACAAGGCTATTATGCAGCCAGACTGGGTATTCAATTGCAAGGGGGAGGAAAGGAGGGGGAAGGCTTATCCCATGGGTAGCAGTGGGTTATTAAGTTCATTTTATGAGCACAAGAGTGCTACAACAATGCTGTAAATTATCATTGCTGTGGAGTGATTAACATTCACAGCCAATGACGAATTCTGTGCTGCCTCTATAGCAAGTCAGTCAAGTCTAGCACTCTGCTCTATTTTTTAAACCTAATTCATTAAACACTGCAAGCAACATTACCCAAGCAAAGAGTTTGCATTAACGGTCATTACTAGTAGTTAACTCATTAACTGGTAAGCTTCCAATAAGCAAAAATAGTTCTAAAGTATAGTGATTAACATTCCCCCTGGAATAACTATTAAAAACTTGTATTCTATAAGCGATACAATTAGCAATGCAATATTAAGGTTGTATTGAAAAGGTTAGTCACCACTGCATGACTAAGTGACAGTGTTGGAAAACCTGTTTCCTGGCAGTTAATACTTTATTTTCCATCAATCAGGCCTTAGGAAATAGTATATTTGATTTATAGCATAAAGAGTATTAACCTTGAACGCTGAAATTTGGTAATAATGTCCCCCTGCTCAAAGAGGGGAAAGACTGCACCACCCTTTAATAATAGTTGAAAGCAATGAGGTTCCACACAGCCACTTCTATGAGGCCGCCCAGCTTCCAGCCTTTCCATAATGCGATCCGCCTCCTCCCCCCGCCACCCTCAAAACAAGAAAGAAGCCATCGAAAACAAGGTGGCTGGGAGGACGACTCCTGTGATTACTGGCTAGATAAGCTATCACCGACTCAGTGAAGAGCTAACTTTCTACTACAAACGACAAACTAGTAAGAAAACATCCAACCACTCGAAGGGGCATAACTAAAGTTTCAAAGCACTCTTCAGACCAGCAGAGGAAGGATGCATCACAAAACCTAAGTGTTAGACATATATGAGATTAGGAAAATGCAAACAAAGTACATTAAATCACACAAAGTGATGAAACTAGAAAAACAAAAGCAATGTAAACTCAAGACTGCTGCTCTTAAACTTGCACTATAACAATAAAGGAGGACAGCAGACTATGGGGAATGTCAAAGTTAATACTATTTGTTTAGAAAGATTTTTAACATCATTTACTATTTAGAATTTCAAAAGATTTTAAAATTAAAGGCAAACCAAAAAAATTCTTTCTTCTTAGGTTTTGCTTCAACAGTAGTTTAGTGAGATGTATATTCAGTTCTCACAAAAGGCCTAGTGAAAAGTATTCTTGAAATAACGCTCTTTGTTTATCAAACTTTCAGTCACAACTTTTTAGCCACATTCAAATAGAGCTCCCCGCTACATGATCCGGCATGCAGAATTTGTTTGCAATATATAACCACACTTTAGCTCCCGTAGCAGTTGCTACTGTTTCAGAACTGCATCTCACAGCAGGCAGCAGTAGGCTATAAAACTTATTCTGTTTGCTGCCTGTCTTACGTTTTCTGAGATATTGAAAAAAAGTGAATTATGTGTTACATTCTAAAAGTAAGAAAAACATAAATGATATATATAATGGTAACGTTCTGGGTTTTTTTCCCTCCCCCAAATCAGTTTCCGGTAGTCATCAGAATACTGCACAATTAATTACCTTTTCTTTTCTTTTCTTTTCTTTTTTTTTTTTAATTTTCAGTCTGCACAGTCCCAAGCTTTTTTCCGCATGGAAATGGCTGATGGAACACTGCCTCACAGTTACCAGATGAACGTGAAGGAAAAAAATAAATAAATCACTGACTGGGAATGGAAATAACATTCCCGTGGAAAACAACAGTGAGCTTTTAGAGCTGCATAGGTGGAGACCATTAGCCCCCTGGTGGGCTGAAACTTCAAATTAAATCACATGAAGAGGAAGCAGCTGTAACAGTAAATCAGCAACAACAGGAATAACTGTCTCATCTGCTCTCCGATCAGGGTGTTGAACAACAGGCAACGCGAATAATTCATGCTGAGAAAGGCAGGGATGTATTTATAATCCAGAGAGGAAAAAAAAAATCTGTGTTTTAAGAGAATATTCGCTTCCCAATTGCAGGCTGACAAAATGGACCTTCAAATCCTGAAAGCTGTTACGAGTGCTCAGCCTTCACAAACCAACTGAGCGCTCAACTCCGGTGATTCAGGCTTGGTGACAATTCAAATGCAAGTTGCCAGGCTGTTTTTTCTAGCCCTTTGCATCCTGAAGTTAGAGAAGTCTATACTTAAACTCAGTAAGAGGAGAAAACAACACACTTTCAACAGTGATCTTAATAGAGCGAACCAATTAAAGTAAGAAATATTATCACTTAAGTTCTTACACTTCCCTTTTTCACTCAACCCTTTGCCCCTCCAAACTCCAGCCTTATGCAGGATTTTATTTAAATCTACTGTCTAATCATGCACAGTAACTTTTTCATTTCTTTTGCAGTGAACAGTCTCCTAACTAGATCACTCAGCATGCTGTTACTGGATAATTTTGGGGTAGCAAAAACAAGCTGATTGTGTAAACAAAAAAAATTGATCCAAACTGCAAAGCCTGGATGTGCAAAGTCAGTGCATGTGTTACAGTGTTAAGCTCCATTATCATTAGACGCAAGTAATTACAAATCAGCCCGTGGTCACAGCTCGTAGTTTATTTCTCGCCCTGCCATCACCATCCCGCATAAAGAGTAACCTCAGCAGCTGGATTCTGATCTCTGCTCTGCTGTAATTGGAGATGACTGAGAATAGAAAATGTTGGAGAGAAAAAGGTTCCAAGTAAATGGAATAGGTTTCGTACCTAACAGAACATCTCATTATAAAGAATACTCATTGCCAATAATCTGATACGGGTTTTAACTTTGTTTTTCTGGAGCAGCCTAAACAATCCTTGTCATAAAGGAAAGAAGAAATCCTACAGCTGCCACTTTTATGAGACATGGAGATTTCTATTTTAGACCCGCTCAAAATGATTCATTTCTTTAATACAATTTTTCTAGAACTTAATGTGTTGCTTTATTTTCATGCCACCGTTGTAAACATAAATCTTATTAATTTGAAGGGAAATCTACTCCACTTCTACAAATCCATCTGAAACTTAAAATATTAGCCACTATTTCTGTCGAAATTCTTCTTTTTATTAGCCAGATGTACTTTGTACAAATGACACTCAATTGCATCTAACCGGATATCTTTAATAAAGTAAAATGACAACTATGGTTAAATATTTGTAAAATATGGCTGTTATTTGTAAAATAACAAAATCCAGTGAGGCTGAAATGGAAATAACCATTAAAATGAGTTCTCCAAAATAATCTCTCCATGTTAATTTTTCAGTAAACTGAAAAAACCTCCTCTGTTTTCCTGGAAAAGATTCAAAAAGTACAATAACTCCCTAATTTTTCTTCTCCTTCTCTTCTTTTTTTCCTCTTTCCTGTGAGATTTTCTAATGTGACCAGGAGGGGCTTCTCCCACAATGCAATTCCCTGCAGGCTGCCACAGTGGGAGACTCCCAATTCTGACCTTCTCAGTAGCCCATATATGCTTATCAATAGCTGCCTGACCTCCCTGCTATTCCTCCTCCAACAGCGAATTCTTATGGCAGCCTGCAGCGCTGTGCAGACCAGAGAAATACCTCTCCCACTGGAAAGACCATCTGCCAAGGGGAGGTCAGACTTAAATGTTTGTCAAAACCTGCCTTCAGACTCGAGGACAATCAATCTAAAGCTGCCATTCCTGATCACCTCTTTAATATTAGAAAAATTTGTAGCCAAAGACAGGGAGAAAGGCTTGGAAAAAATCAAATTCATTTTAAATCTGCTCATTGCTCAGCATGAGCTTACCCTACAGGAATTCCTTTTCTCTTCAATTATCAGTTTCCCAGTAGTTATACAGCCAAGGGGTTTACAGGGACTATCCATGTATGTGATGTGGGGCACATGTGAGAGCACTTTGTGCCTTAATTCAGAAACTATGACGATGTCTGCACACATACCACATCACTGTGTCAAGCTGGATATAATGGTAGTTTTAACAGAAACTGAGATCGGGAGGAATCAATTCCCTCCTCTACTTGTGAGCTACTTTGCACACACAGATTTACTGTGCAGTCCATACAAGAGTCCAGGCCTCTTCTCAGACAGCCAGTTCCACCACAGGGATGACTGCTGAAGGATCCCATTGCTGGGAAGTCCTAAAAGATCAAGTCAATCTGGGAGCTACTCATTAATGTTAATGGTGATCTTGAAGGGTTAGCTTCTTTAAGATCACCAAGGAATTCATATTTGAAATGCAGAAGAAGGAATTGTACAGAAGAGAATGCAGTTACACACACTCACACATGCAAATCCTGTCCAAACACACGCTGTCCCAGGATCAAAAAGGAACTCGCACCTAATCGTTACCATGCGAAACTGCAGAATATCTGGCAAGCAGATGACAAAAGACGTAGACTGAAGAAAAAAAGATAGGTACAGAGCTAGTGAAAGAGGCCAGCTGCTAGGCTGCAGCCCAGCACATCGGTATTTTTTCCGTACCTTAGAAAGCGTGGGTCAGCTTATGATGCAGTGATATCTCATATTTAGACCAATATAGTACTAGAGCTCTGCTCATGACACATTACACACAACTAGTCTCATTCACAGTCTCATTTTTACTTGGAGGAACAAAGCTCTAGCATAATATCTCATAGCCTAATTTTCTTCAGGATCCTTATTACACCTAGATATATTTTCCTCTTTCCAAAGTATCAGTGTTTTTCACCCTTCTGTGCATTCTTAAGGAAGTAGATGACGATTGTCTACTCCTATTTTCTTAACGCTTACCACATATAGCAGAATAAGATCTGGACGGTGCCATGAAAACTGGCTGACCTATTTATTGGAAACGCAATGCTTTGAG